TCAATCAAACACCCCAGATGGAAGCAAAATTATCAATAAATGCTGCCCTCGAATAAATGCCACACCTGATCAGAAGAATGCGGAATTTACTCGAGGATAATAAGAAAAACCTCAGTACAACTTGGTAATTTACACCATCCAGACAATTACGATTCTATCTCAGCATAATAATGGTGACATTGGAACCTTTAAATTACATAATATATTTACAAACGATTTACACTAACTGTTGTCAGTGATTTAAAAAAAAGTGATTTCAAAATAAACGCCGCGGCGTATAATCGAATAAATACGGTTTGAAATTCATACCAGTTTAATGTATACCCCCCTCCCCCCCCCCCCCCCCCCCCCCCCCCCCCCCCCCCCCCACTCCCCCCCCTCGCATTACAGGGTAAATAATACTTTCCAAACAAAAATTCTCAAAAAAAAAAAACCACAATTCTAGAAACTAATAAAAAAATAATCAGAAAAAAAATCAAAAAATAACAATTACAAAATTATAATAATAATTTATTACTCACTTAAACATCCAAATAATACTTAATAACTAAANTATATTTACAAACGATTTACACTAACTGTTGTCAGTGATTTAAAAAAAAGTGATTTCAAAATAAACGCCGCGGCGTATAATCGAATAAATACGGTTTGAAATTCATACCAGTTTAATGTATACCCCCCTCCCCCCTCCCCCCTCCCCCCTCTAAAAGGGCCTTATGCAATCAGGACCGTGTGTACAAGGTTAAAATATTATGTCACAAACGTCTTTGCAAAAGCAAAATGGCATTATTTGGGGAAAGTTAACCAACAAATTAGCAAATAATTTTGCAACTGCCTTGTGACTAAATTTTAGCATGACTTTTCATGACCTTGACAACATTTAAAGGAAATCCTGAGGAAGACTGTTTATATTTCGCAGTGCTTTTAATAATGGCTCTCAACAAAAACCTCACATAGCGACAAGCTGATATTAACCACAACCTCGTGCAAAACAGTCCTTTTTAAAAATATTACTGCAAACACTAACACCATTGTATTATAAGTAGAAAACAGGAAAACAATATCATTATGACGAACACGAGTGGTCTGGCTTGTGAAAAAAAAACGACATTAACAACCAGCTATGTCTGTGTTTAAGCCCGGGGTTTAAGCTTTATCTTGTACAAAATATTTTCAAATAATCGAGTTACGCTATATCAACGTCTTTTAATTTACTGAAAAGATGCCTACAGATTATTAAATGAACTATTGTATGTTTCTTTTGCGACTTAACAGAATCCTTTGTTTAAAAAAAAAAATCACCGAACATTCAATGAAATCACCCAAAAATTATAGGTTTATATAAACCGCTTTTTTTAATGGCTCGCGATCCGTTTCGTCGGTGTTAAATAAGTTACAACTCACCTACATCAGCGATCAAACTCCCCGCTGGCAAAGACTGGAGAAATTGTTCAACTCTTGGCCATGCTTTGTGGCGAGATCCAACGAAGTAAGGTGCAATTTTGTCGTAAACATCACGAACGTGATATCTTTCAAGTCCTTCCGGAGTTGAAAACTGCGACATTTGCCAAGAAACGGACGATAAACGCTCACATACACTGCCAATTTTGAGACTTCGAAGAGTTTTGAAGAAATCATAAACTTTTTCTTACAGATATCAAAGCTGAATAGGAGACAAATCAAATAAACCCTTGGTTAATTCAGCTGCTGTCCCCACTTCGTGTCAGAACAACAAAAATAAAAATTTTTAAAAACACCGCTTTAGTACCTATACACTTTAGTAATGATGCAGTCGTATTAAAAGCTGGCGAACTGTAACACAAAAACAACTGTAGTAGAAGTTTGCAACGTGTGATGGCGAGTATATATAAATATTTTCCGATGTCAGAAGTTAAGAATCATCTCATCACTTTCGGGTTGAAGAACAAGCTGAAGATTATTAGAAACCGCAAGTCACGAGAAGCGAAAGTACAACTGTACTTTATACTCTGATAGGTTTAAAGTTGGTAAGATCAACATTTTTGCAAGCTTTTCAGCAATTGTCCTGTCACAGTCCGCAGTCGTGGCCACCTGAAAGGAAAGTGGAGAAGACAACTGAGAGAACTTACCGCTGATGCAGTCACTCATCGGGTGTGAGTTCTTTTTCGAACCATTGATCGCCAAATTATTCACAGCATCAAATTTGCAATTGAAAAGAAACGTGTCCAATAGACAATCCAATGTTTTGAATTACCGCAAATGGGAAAAATTCAAGAAGTGTTACGTGACTACGAAAAAAATACACCTCTGAACTTACAGCTTTGAAACTAGAAGCTGCCCAGGTAACGCGATCGTCAAATCAACAATCTGATTCGCGGGCTTTCCAAAGCTTTTAGCGCGCAAATAACTAATGACTCAAATCTCCACTTACAAAAGACCAGCTGCTAAGGGAAAAGCCATAGATTTATCCAACAACAAACATTTACATGCAAATGAAGTAATAAAGTGAATAAAATGTTCTTCCAATGAATAAAAGATTTTCAAATATTTGCTTAGCAGACTTTTCTAGCATACATAATTAACTTCACGATCACGTGTTTACAATGCCTCATTTAACAGTCCAATATGACAGGAGGAACTTGCCATTTTCCCGTCCACAACAAGAACGAAGAGGAGCAGGCGTTAAATCACCCTCTCCTACGTTTTGAGCCATTTTTTCTCTCTTTCCTTTCTCTGGCGCCCAAAATTTCTCTTCTTTTAAAATGAACTGGTTGGTCCGGCATTCCCTCTGCAACCCCATATTAATTAAGGGCATAATTAAGTACAGCAAGCTCTCAGAACGGATGCTACTAGCCGTTTGCGTATATTAGTAGAATAAGTTACTCTGCGGGTTTTTATCCCTGCTTTTTCTCATACACGGCACTGCTTCCAGTTCCGGAGACTTCGTGACAACAGAAAAAAATACCATAACTTCATTTCCGTATTAAAAGGAGGCATTACCGTCAAATGAAAATGCTTAGCTTAAATCAATTTGAAAATGGCCGAGGTCAACCAACAAGCCTGCATTTTTCCCAAAATGTTTGGTAAATAGTTTTTGCCAGTTTCTAGCATTTGACTGCGGTCGGTCGGTCATGTGGGGGGCAGATTGCTCGAACTTTTTCGGATCGTAAACTTTTGTCTTTCTCTTTTTGCGGCGGAACCACATGCTCAATTGCGGTGACACAGGGGCTCGATGACTTGGCGCTAAAGCCAAATCAAAAATTTAAAGAAACATGCTGGTGTTAATAAAAGAGCTGGATCAATACTAAATAGACATGTGGAGCTGGATGGGGACTCCGCTATTCTAAAGCTGGTGTGCGAGCACCATGCCAGTTCTCGTAAATAGTTCGGCGCTGTTTTCCGTTTTCACAACCCGAATATCGGTCCTTCCTTAAGCGTTAGAAAAGTCTGGTCCTGGTTGTTCAGACGTTAGATATATCCAGTGGATAAATCACTATCCAGCGAATATTTTTTTAAACTGAAAGTATTAGGAAAACCAATTACGTTATCCACTGGATAGAGATTTGCTCAGTGACTTTCAAACACACGGTTCTACCGTTTTCAACTTATGTAGAGGAGAATTTGTCGCTTCCATGGAAAATGTTACGGCGAAAAGTTAGTGTCGAATATAAGAAATGGTACGGTCATCTTTGCACCTGTTTGCCGGCGTTTTGCCGCAAATATTGAAAACAAAAAAACAATATCAATAGGCCCCTTCACGGTTGTGAGGGCATGCTGAGTAATCAAGACAAGATGGTGGGGAAGTCAAAAGTTTTTTTGGGAATTCAAAGTCAACTCTAAGGTCAACTAATTCTTCCTAATTGAATATATTCGTCACTTTCTCTTTGCAAACTTTAAATAATGAACTTAAATAGACTATACGCTAAATGTGGAGAGCACAGCAGTCCTTTGTCGCTTTTTAGAAAATTTGACTTGTTCCATACATTATGTGTTGTCGGATTACAGAAAATGTATGGATCAACTCTGATAAAAAGGACTGCTATGCACTCTAGATTTAGTGTGCAGTTCATTAGTTACATTTTCAAGAGAAAGTGACAAATATATTCAATTAGCAAGAATCAGTTGACTTTATATTCCCATACAAACTGTATTTTCCGACCATCTTGTGCCTATTACCCATGATGCCGTTACAACCGTGAAGGGGCTGGAGGGGTCTGTTATGACGAACAGGAGTGGTCTGGTTTGTGAAGAAGAAAAAAACCGATTACAACAACGTCTCGCGTCTTCGCTACTACGCAGTCTACAGTATTCGGGGAAATTCCAGTGTCTTGTTATTTTCATTGGTATGTGTACTCCGAAATGGGCGCGCGGGCCCCATAAATTAGCACGTTTTCCCTCCTGGGATTCTTACATCACCCCTGGGTATTGAGCGTAGTATTTTAATGCTTGCCATCATCAGAACACTGTCTTATACATTCATGCCCCGAGAGGTCATATACTTTCGTTCCCCCCACCCCCTCTCCTCCCCTCAATGACAAAACCCGCTTATGCTGCACTTCTTCGCGTTCGCGGAAATTATTTTCGCCCATATCTTAGTATTCCCCGCGTGTGCCATAGAGGTGCGGCATCACAATGAAAGTTCTTCTGCTGTCTACTTTGGCAACTTGGACTACGAGCAGTCCCTGTGTAGTCCGTCGAGTGAATCGCGCGAGACAGTCTGCCGCCCTCGCTTCTCGCGTCCCGCGTTTTCCTCCCCTCGACGCTCGCGTGGGCCTGCACACTCCCCCATGCACTAAATCTTAAAAACAAGAGAGACTTGCTTACCGGTTGATGTAATGTTAATATACACACAACAATTTTTCACCTTTTGTAGGGCTAATACTCCGCACTCCCACCAGCGCTTGGTCGTGAGTTAACGCACGCCCCGACACAGTACTTCACAAAATCTGATATCCAATCAAAGAACTGTTTATCTGAGCTCAACCATTCAATTCGGTATGTAAAAAGGTCAAAGCCTTGCAATGGGCGCAAAAGAACTCAAATGGCACGACATCTTCGTGGTTCTTTTTGGAACCATTTTAAGCTTTGCCGATCCCATCACCGATATCCTTACACTGGTGGAATTCTATCGCGCAGATCACAAGACTTGGTTCGGAGTGGGGCTAAGTTTCATTATTTTACCGTGTTTGTTTTTTGCGGTACCTTACGGTTTGTCATCAAAAGAGTCTGGATTGGCAGAAGCCAGTCGCGTTAGGAGATTCACGCAAGTTTTCCTTTTTGGTTTTAATCCATTTTCTCCAGCCTTGGTGAAGCTGCAAACGCTCATTTTCTACCTAAGAAATTTTAGAAAACTTTGGTCGGGCGATAAAATCGTACCGTCTGATATTGGAACGGCTGCCGATGAAGAGGCGCATACTCTTCTGGTTTACAGCAATTTAGCTCTTATATATGAAGCCACCCTTGAATCAGCTCCTCAATTTGTAATTCAGCTGTACGCCATGGCTGTTCAATAGGAATCCGTAAAGATCGTTCAAATGGTTTCTCTACCTGTGTCCTTCCTTAGCTTAGCTTGGGCGTCAACAATAGCTGATGAGGTCTTTCACTGCGAAGGAGTCGACACGACTATAAAGGACGCACCGAATGTGAAAAATAAACTTCTGCTCTTTCTAACGCATTCATTTGTTTTGAGCAGTAGACTTTTTTCCATCGCTCTTTTCACCGTAAGCTACAAGTGGTGGATCACCAGTGTTTTGATCTTTCATTCCACGGCAATAGTGTTGTGTGACACTCTTTGGTTTTGTAGCAAAAGCGATTGTAATGCGGGAGTTACAGGTTTATCGATTTTCCATTTCTGTTTTCATTGGCTTCGAGATGACACGTCAACGAGAATACAAGATGTATTAACAGAAGACAAAAAGAAAGAGCTAAGAAGAATGCAGTTGTTCTCCAACTTGCTGTTTTTCCTAGAAGACAGCACAATGATTTTGTTGTTTTATTTTAGCCAGTTTCCCGGCCGCGCCTGGTACTCTTTGCCAGTCGCTGTTTGCGTCTGTTCTTTTGCTCTTCTTGGTGCCATAATGAGAGTTACTCACTTTTATTTCTTAACGAAAGAATCAATTGAGGAACCAGATGACCGGCTTTAGTAACTCTTGTAACTCTGGTTGAGAAATACGTGTCCAAACTTTACAAAACAAAATAATCACAGACCTTTCACGTGGTCTAATATCCGACATGAGTGTAGGATTAAGAGGGGAATCAGTGTCACTTCATGTAAGAGAATCCTATAGGAGTCTTGGATTCTGGATTTCACGCCGTGGATTCCGGGTTTTTTGCCAGTGGAACTTGGATTCTGATTGGGAATTCCAATCGTTAGCGAAATTCCGGCTTCCTCCAGCTGTATGCCGGATTCGAAAGCCCAGGATCCCGCATTCCACAAGCAAACATTTTCCCTGAATCCGGATTCCACGAGCAAACATTTTCCCTGAATCCGGATTCCACGAGCAAACATTTTCCCTGAATCCGGATTCCACAAGCAAACACTTTCCCTGAATCCGGATTCCACGAGCAAACATTTTCCCTGAATCCGGATTCCACGAGCAAACATTTTCCCTGAATCCGGATTCCACAAGCAAACACTTTCCCTGAATCCGGATTCCACAAGCAAACACTTTCCCTGAATCCGGATTCCACAAGCAAACATTTTCCCTGAATCCGGATTCCACAAGCAAACATTTCCTGGATTCCGGAATCGTGGCCGATTAGTACATTGTCAGGTGAACTGCATGCCGTCTTCACTGACTTGTGCAACAACTTATGCGGGTACTTAGAGAAAAAACCCTGTGAACGAGGTTGCAGGTGCTGTACAGGTACAGTCACGTGTAGTCCGTGTACCATGTCCTCCTCCTCCTTGGTTGTGAGGAATGAATCCTAAACGGTCACATGTTCAAAAACGCCTCACTGGAGAGCAAACAACGCAATTGAACCTAGTAAAGAACGGATTATTAGCTTTTAAAATGATTTTATTTCGTTGTTTTTGTTTTCCCACTGGAGTCTCATGCTGTTTTAATTGAACAAGATGTGTTTGTCCTATGTTAGCCTGTGGGGCTAGGTGGCTTTGTAGCTGGAAAGAACCTATCAAAAACCTTGGTTGACTTTGTTGAAAGCGTAGGCAGGATTTTTTATAAAGGTTACCCCACGTAAAATTGGAATTATGAAAGTAATTTTAAGATCTGCCCCTCCTCAGCTCTTGAACTGAAAGTTTCAAAATCTTCGAAGGAAAAAAATGTTTAGCAAATCCTGGATATTCTCTATAAAAAAGTAGGTGGGTACTCAAAATAATTTAGTCACAACCAAGACACAACCTTGGTCACTAATGGCATGAAAATGACACGATAGCTGGTTAAGATTAAGAAGGGGGCGTCAATGGGGTGGGGGGGGG